TTGGTGTTTCTCTTCACTCTCATTATAATTTCTCTTCTTTGCTGCTACGTCCACGTCCGTCATATTCACTCCTAAACTCACCTGCTGCGCTCTCATTGGCTGGAGGAAACACACCAGCTCCGCCCAGAAACGTCCCGAGTCAACCAGAACAAATCAGAACAGTAAAATCCAGTGGAGGACAGAGTCTCTGCAGACACAGTCACCACCACACATGTACGGAGGCCCAGAAGGGACAATGGAGCAGCTTCACTTTAGGAGAAGACTGTCTTTTATTTTGAAGAAGTCTGTATTTTATTTTGAAGGAACAAGCTGCTGACTCTGTCTTTAACTTTTGGTTGTGACGTATTTTCGCCCGTTTTAATCACTGTGATGTGATGTACTATAAGTTGAGGAAATTCAAATTAGAGACCCATCAAAACAAAAGTCAACAAAACAAAACAGAACTATTGTCTCCTCTGGCTATTGTTGAGTAAACTCAGGGAAATTAAAACCCTCAAGAATGTCTCAGCTTACACATGAAATGGCTGACGGTCCCAAGGCGCTGGCAGAAAGTGATCGACCAGACAATGATGGAGAGAGAGAGAGCCCACATACCAGAGGACGAGTCAGAGTATCTATGACATCATTCTTTACTGAAATTCTTCTCTGCTGCCACATGGGTTGCTGCCGCGGCGCTGAAATGAGACCCAGATGGTGAGCAGGCCCTGACTGGTCCAACATGGCAGCAGAAAGAGCGTCAGTGGTCTCAAGTCAGCCACATGGACAACGACTGGTCCAGCACTGAGACGCTGACAGACTGAACCCTGAAAGACGTCTTGTGATTGAAATCATCACGACTAAAACAAACAGCAAACAGGACGGATGACCACTGACGGATTTGTTTCTGAAAACAGTTTCTCACTGGCATGCTGGTTTTGTACCAGTGGGTTAAATAGATGTAGCTTCATGATTGATTAGTTAAGGGAGGGAATGGCTAACTGGTTGAATAGTTGGCTACCAGTTATGAATAAATATTTAAAGGTCCAATCAGTGAGATGATAAAGGTATCTTACTCTCTGATCATTAAGGAAACATGCTATGTTGAAGTGCTGGCTTCTCTGACAACAATGCAGCAGCCAGTATGTCCTCCTTCTAACTTTAGATTCTGCTCCTGAATGCTCTGGATTTGTTTGGACCAGAGAAGGTAGGCACTTTTAAGACACACACACCCCCCCTACACACGGCCGTTTTGGACGCCCCTCTGTTTGTCAGATATGAGAGCAGTTATCAGGTCAACAGGTGTTGCAGCGATGGAAGCGGTCAAGAGAAGTGGTTCAGATAGAAGTGATTGTACCCGACCTAAAAAGCCTCTGCATGTTTCTAATAAGCTCCACGAGCAGAAACGTGCTCAAACTAGGATCAATATTGGAGATGCTTTTGAAAAATGGAGAGAGGTTAGAACACAGAAAGGTTTACAGACCCATGCAGAGCTGGATAAACACTGAAGCTTCAGAGTCCACCACATGGTGACCTGAGTGAGCATCCACTCTAGAGAGGAGGGGGGGGGGAGACAGCTCTCTATGATGTTTAGAATTTAGACTGCAGTACCCATTTTAAACACTAGTGGTCAGAGTTACAGACTGAGCCCTTGAGGGAAGTGAAGTGCCATGAGTCAACTTTTGTAACCTAGCAACAACAATAAGTGCAGATGAGAAGCTCTCTGAAATTGAGATCTTAAGCGCACACAGAATAAATCGTTAATGAACACAAACCCAAAAACATGATGTTTAAAAACCATTCAAATCTGATAAAACACATTTCAATCTTAACCATGGAGGAGTTCCCCGACTTGTAAGAGCGATTAAAACACACAAACATCCCCACCGTGTCTGAGCAAATCTCAAATCCTCTACAGCGCATTAATCATCAAACCAGCTGGTTCCTTAAAAATCATTTTTTCCCCCCAGCTCTATTTTTAGTTCTTCTGTTGGACGGCGCTGCACAGACCGGGAGCAGAGCCAGGCGTCCATTGATACAATCATATCCTCATTCAGCAAACCTACGGGGGGGGTAAACATGGCCGACACTCCTCCAACAGGTGTCTGTGCACGTCTGTGCATGCAAAAATATACGACTTAAGAAGAGACGTGCAGAGATGAAGAACGTTTAAAGGTGAGTGAACAGGATCGAAGCCTCCACTTTATACAACAAGAACTCTGGACGCTGAAATTTACCAAAAGTGCAAAATGACACGTGCGAGTAACCCAGGGCGACCGTTTTCAACTCGTCTCAAAATGCACTTCTTGGCAGACGTGAGTTTTCCCACACTTCCCTTCACAGCCCATCAGTCAGGCCGCAGAGGAGCGTCAGGGGTCAGCGCTACGCCGAAACACGCCGAGAATATGAAGCAGCTGCCTGAGACTGAAGAGCCTCAAGTGTCACCCCGTGTGTGTGTGTGTGTGTGTGTGTGTGCGTGTGTGTGTGTGTGTGTGTGTGTGTGTGTGTGAGAGAGAGAGAGAGCTTCATTAATCCTCTCACATTAATGATTTTGGGTCATGGTCAAACATTCTCCAGCATTAATTCATAAAGTGCAGAACGTTCCAGATAAAGCTAAAATGTTCAACTTGTTCACAGTTTCATAAATTAAAGAAAAAGAAGAAGCGGTAAGACCTCGGAATCTTGTCTCATCTCGACTCTTTGTGCTGGTTTTCACACCTTTCTGGTTGTTTTCTTTCTTTTTAGAGTCGATTAAAATGTCGTTTTTAAGTCTCATTTTAGCAGCTCAGGTTTTGTTTTGCAGCTCGTCTCTCTCTCTGTGAGGATGAAGCATCTCATTTGAGTCTCTGGTTTTTTTTTAATCATTTTGCAGCTCTTTGAGTGACTTCTGTGTCATTGTGGATGTTTTTAAACTTTGTGCCTCTCTTGATTTGCTTTTTAGAGACACATCTGAACAGTCACTAAATCCCTCCGTGATGCTCTCACATCCTGGAGGTGGTGGAGGCCTGTGCCATCTCTCCGCTCCAGCTCTGTTTTAATGGACGCACTTTAAAGTCTTCTAACTGAAGCTGATAGGAATGTGTGAACACCGCTGCTGCTGCTGCTGCCAACACAAACACCTGCTCACACACAAAAAAGATGTTAACCCTGCAGAAAGAGTCATGGGAAACTGGTTTCATCTGACTTCCTCAAAGTGACACCAACCACACTCTCTCTCTCTCTCTCTCTCTCTCTCTCTCTCTCTCTCTCTCTCTCTCTCTCTCTCTCTCTCTCTCTGTCTCTCTCTCTCTCAACATGTGGACACATCCACACACATCATTAGCACCGTGCTGCATCCCCTCCGCCTCCCCATACGGACCGTGTGCTGCTCCACTCAAACCGCCCCTCCCTCCTCACGGCTCTTTCTCCTGAAGGTGTCAGACCGACCATCGTTATTAACCACCCACTCCTCTCTCTGGACTCCGGTCTGTGGATTCATCTCATGGCTCTGAGAAGGTGAAAGAAGGGCCTCTCTCTCTCTCTCTCTCTCTCTCTGTCTCTCTCTCTCTCTCTCTCTCTCTCTCTCTCTCTCTCTCTCTCTGTCTCTCTCTCTCTCTCTCTCTCTCTCTCTCTCTCTCTCTCTGTCTGTCTCTCTCTCTGTCTCTCTCTCACTCTCGCTCTCTCTCTCTCTCTCTCTCTGAAGGTGAGATTGGACCCCACTAGTCAGAACCTTTTGTTTCAGTAAAGTACACAGAGATGGTGGCTTTGCAGGGCCAAAAAGGAGGAGGCCAAAGGGAACATGTGTGGATCAGCAGAGCATGACACTCACTGAACTTTTCACTTTTTGTGGTTTGTTTCTCTGCAGCTTGGAGGTCACGAGCTGTTGTTATCGTTCCTGTGTGTATGTTTTTTGTTTTTTTTAAAGCATCCCAGCATATGAACTCACTCTGTGCTGCTGCTGCTGCTGCTGCTGCTGGTGTTAAAATAAAAAAAGACCTCAGCCCTGGCTTTAAATGATCTCTCCTTTGTCCGCCCCTCTGAATACTTTAAGGCCTCTAAAGTGGCAGTTTATACTCTACGTGCCAAAAATGCCAATAAAACCGCCCTAATCGGCCCTCCGATCTGTAACAGCACCTGCTTCTGGAAACACAACACGCCCCTGCAGTCTATCTCTGCAGCTGCAACGTTTCCTTCCTTTTCTTCAGCTCGGAAACGAGAGTCCAAACGCCATTACGCATTTTGGACAGGCGCATTGACTTCATGCTCTTTCTTTTCCCTCTTGATAAAAAAATCAGCTTTCTACTCTTAAGTATTTAACGACACATCTTACATCGTGTGTGATACCGTGGAAACAACACGTGATTCATTTCTCTTCACGCACAGAGGACTCCATGTGAACCAGGTCGAGGCCTACACTGATGCATTTGTGCATTTAATTTTCATATTAATGTAACGATTATAAGTCTTCAAAAACTCGATGATTATAATTAAACAATTTATTGAAATGTGTTGCATTTTATTTAGGCCTCATTTCCGGTCAGTTAATTCAATAATCTTTTTACAAAAGACGTAAAAAAAGAAGTTCTGACAATAAGTGAAAATTATAAAACACGATTTCATTTTATGAGCATGGAAACACATTCATTTTCCAATAAGTAATCAATAAGATTAATTAAAAATACTTTGTTGAATTAATCTGAAATATTTCTGTTATTTCGTTAATGAGGATTTTTCTTCGTCTGTTTTTGTGGGAAATTGAGCTCGAGGCCTTCTGTCTCTCATTACTAACGAATTAAAACTTTTGTTAATGGCCAGATCGTCCTGTTTAATTTATCTAATTATCTTCAGAATAAAATAAAATATTTATTATTTCCAGAGGACACTGAAGAAACTCTGACTTGTAAAAAATGAAACATAAAAACGAAGTGCGTAATTTGTCCTCAAAGTTGAACACAGGTCACCAAATATGATACAGGTAAATACAGGTAAATATTGAAGCATTAAATCCAGACACACCGTAAAGGGGATAATAACGGGGGTCTTACCGACACACTCGTTGGCCTCTCGTGCCGTGGCGCGCTGCCACGGACGGTCGTAGTGGAAAGGTTTGCACCTGTCGCACTCGGGTCCCGCCGTGTTGTGTTTGCACTCACACACCAGGTTCCCCTCTCGGTCTTTCACGCACTTTGACGCGTGCCCGTTGCACTTGCAGCGACCTCCGACCTGCAGGTCCGACACGGCGTAAAAGTAGGAGTCTCGCGCCAGCTCCGAGTCGTCCTCGTTCTCGTCCCCGAAGGTGTGCAGCCGGCTGAAGATCACCTTGATGTCGGTGGCCGTCACCCAGTCCTGCAGCACCGGGGAGTTGTCGAAGTCGTGCGCGGAGGGTCTCCCGTCCAGGGTGCTGAAGGCGATGAGTCCGCCGGTCAGAGGGTGCATGTCGGTGTGGGAGTCGGTGCAGATCGCCTCCTGCTCGTTCTGTTTGGTGATCGCTGCTTTGTTCTGCCGGTTGTACATCTTCTTACACTGCGTGGAGTAATACTGAAACGGCACCCACGACTTGCCGTAGTCCATGGACTTGTAGATCGCCATGGATTCCGGTCTGGGTGAGCAGAACTGCAGGCTCACGTAGGTCACCTCAAACTTTTTCCCTAAAGACAAAGTGAGCGTGACGTTCTGCGGGAACTGCATGTAGTTCTCGGAGTGCCAGCACGTCAGGTTGTGCGGGTTGTTCAGGTCCGTTAGGTACGCGGGAGGATGAGACTTCTTGGGGTCTCCGGCGTCGCAGGTGTGGCAGTCCCGGGTCCTCTCCTCTCCCTTCTCGGTCACCACGCAGTACCTGGCGGCGGGGCTCCCGCACACGCTGGAAACCCGCACGTCCTTACCGAAAGCGGAGTTGACGAAGTCCGGGATGCATCTGCGCGGGTTGCCGTTCTCGTCGTAACACGGGTCCGGAGGGGAGGACTGAGCCGCGAACATGCTGAGCCCGTACCCCCCGAACACCCCTTCGGTCAGAGCTGACAGTGTCAGCACGGTGACCCAAACCTCCACCATCCTGTGCATGGTAACCCGAGCTCCACAGGGACTGTCCCGCTGAGAGGAGGAGGACAGAAAAATCAAGAATGAATTTTAAAAGTTTAATTATAAAGGAGGACAAATCAAGACAAGCACAACATGTGATCCATTTAACAAACTCAAAGTGTAGAAATATCCTTACGAGGCAAAGAGAACTCCACCCAGCTCACAACCTCCAGATAAACTGCTCAGAATAAAAAGAGAAGAAACTCCTGAGAATTTAAAAGAGCAAACTATCCCCCTATATACGCCTAAAAAAAAACCTCCTGCTACACTTTTCAGCCCTTCTCTTTGTGAGAGCCCCTAAATAAAAGTGAGAGATGGCAGGAGCCCAGCTGCCTGTGTCCACTCAGTCACACCTCTGCCCACCTCTATCTGTGTCTGTCCCATTCCTCTGCGTAACGAGAGAAGGGGGCTCCAGTCAATCAGAGCAGAGACCGAGCCTGAGGGAGGGCGACCTCTGCTGGTGGAGCGTGTGTACTACATGCAGCACCTTTACAAACTGGGATGTACAAAGTTCTTCATAACAAAGCAAAAGCAGAAGAACACAAACCCAAAATAAACAACCAACACATCGAACCCAACAACATGACATGAGAGCAGGAGGACTCAAAGAGAGAGAAACATTATATATAATTATATAAAATATCTAATTGAATGGAATAGAATTAC